CATGAAATGCGCATGCTACTTTTCAGCTTCTTCTTGTTGATCAAGCGGAGTTTATCGAACATTTTCAATGTCATGAACTTGGTGAAAACAAAGTTATGTTGCCTTCACACATTGCTATCACTCGGACTCACATGCATATTCTGAGAGACGTCGACAGGAAGGTATTTGCTAGTATACATCGTATGTCTGGTTTCAAAACCGTGCCTTTTAGCCGGGTTTTGTGACTACTGAGGCTCGACATCCTTTGTCTTCAGTTCTGCGGGTTACTAGTAAGAAGAAAGTTCCGGAGTTGTTGACATTTAAATTTGGTTACGAGGTGAATGGTGTGTCGAAAGTTACATCTGTTCACAGGTGAAATTTTGTGTTTCCTATGAACCTTTATTTTTGTTGTATCTTCATAATATCCAGGTTTCTTGTACCAAAAGCTGGGGAATGCGCAAAGGCTGTGAAAACGGCTATATTTGCTCTTCGTCCATTGTCAGACTCTGAATCAACCGAAATAAGCTTTGCTACGGGCTGAGATGGCGAACGAGGTCCACGCTCTGAATTCTAAATTTCTCTTTGCATGTGTAAAAATTGTAACTGATATGCTTTTTGAATGCAGAGAGTTTGAGTCATAGTTAAATGTGATATATAATAATGTTCAGTTTCATTAAAATAACGTCTTTTCCGTTTCATGTTGAACTGGATGCTCTAAACTTCTTTACATGCTATTGTGATCTGTCGCAGTCCTTCCATTCCCAATTATGATTATTTATTGTTGAACTTGGGGTATAATTTATAACATACTTTAAATATGAGAATAATCAATTGTTATTTATGACATTAGAACTTTAAACTTCCCTTAACTCTGACCAGGAGTCGTTCTATTGTTTTGTCAAGGAACAATTTCTAACTTAATATCCAGTGCACTTCATAAAATCTTTGGCTTTATGAAAGACAAGTATTGGAGTGGGTTTTCAGCTCTTTGGTAAATCTGCCCTAACAAAAGAAGGACAGTAACTGACTTTGACCGTTCAAACGACATGTTTACCAGAAACGCCTCTTGAATCTCGAAAGCTGATTTCAGATTGCCTTCTTATATGCTGAGCAGTTCTTTGAGTAAAGTTGAAGGCTTTTTTTCGCTATTACCACGTCATTTTTTTTTGCTCGAGTGCTCGACTTGCCCACTATATCTTGCAAAGGCTAATTGATTGCTGGAAGGCTTTGATGAAAGATGAGCTTTTACATGGCTTGCTTAGCATGTCTTAGTATTTTGAGTATTCTAAGATAATTGATCCACACTATCTCAAGAAAAAAAAAAACGCATAACTCCTTGCAGAGAAGACAGAGCTGAGACTAGTATTTAAAGTTTTATCTAGTAGAAGTAAAGGACTTATTTTTTGCGTCTTCCCATATTAAATGCATCAGCGCATTTGTCTTCGTTTGGTTTCATAAGAGGCCAGTTGGTTTTCAAGTTGTACTTCAAAGGCCACATGTAGGCAAATCCTGGCATCGAGTTTTCCTCGGAACTCTTTTCAAGCTACAGTGTGCTAAACACGATTATAAAACCATTCAGGGTGAACTCGTTGAAAAGGGGAGATTCAAGGCTTCCTTTTGGACTGGCGGAGCAATTGGCGGGAGCGCTTTCAGGGGGTCTACTTGCTATCGTTTGCCATCCTTTTTATATAGCGCTTCTAGTGGGAAACTCAAACACGGCCAATGCTGATAGAGATTTTGCTGAGTGGGCATGCGGATCATAAGGCGCATTGCAACCTTAAGGTTCGACGATCTCACTTCCACCGGTTTTATCCGATCAAGATTGCTGATTAGCGTAACTAGAGGGTCCTCTATCATAATCGTCCAAAAACTCAAAATTCTTGATGTTGACTGTACCGC